ATGGATGAATTAAGACCATTTAAATTTTTAATCATCAACTCACTCATCGAATTTTTCACAATAGATTTATTAGTAATGTGAGAATGTGAGCATTCTTTCACATTTTTTATAAATACCCTGTCATTTTCTGTTTTTGACATACATGGCTCAACATTTTAAATCATTGTCATTCATATCAAGTACAAAGACAATCAGTTGAATATTTCTTAAGACCAACTCCAGCGTTGGTTTTTCACACAAGTTCGTCAGACTGGCGTATTATATATGCATTAAATATTACTAAAATTATTTCCAAGTGGCTGACGTTGCTTACGATTCAACCGTACGGCACATTTGCTAACGGCTAATTTGCATTAAATAATATATTAAAATATAATAAATATAATAAAACTAGCCGTTTCAACGGCTACTTATTTTTTTATATATATTTTTTAACTTATTTTTTATTATAAATATAATTTTGGTTTCCAAAAATTTACCAACACAAATTTCTCTCACTTTTATTTTCTCTTCAATTTGAAATTTCTCTCTCACAATTTCATCATTTTATTTCTATACTTTTAATTTTTTTTTTCAACAATTTTTTCTCATTAGCATTTTTTTTACAAAATATTTAACTCAAAATTTCATCTTTTTACTTCAAATTACAATTGTTTTGGCCAAATGGATCCTAATCATTTTCATTATCAACAAGCTTTTTTCAATTACATGCCAAATTCTCAAAATCCTAATCCTCAAAATTCTCAAATTCCACTGGTGCCAACAAACCCCGCCATATTTCTTCCGTCACCAAACAATCCAAATATGTATCCTATACCTCAAATGAATTCTAATAGTATGGAATTCTCTACTCAAGTTCCACCATTTTCTACTCAAGTCCCACCATTTTCTACTCAAGTTGGTACTGAAAAAGAAGAAAGGGTTGTCGTTAAAAAAAGATCTCGAGAGCAATTTATAAGGGGAGAGGATATACTACTTATCCAATCATGGCTCAATGTTTCAAAGGATCCAATTGTGGGAGTTGATCAAAAGGTTGAGAGTTTTTGGTTAAGAATTGCTGCTAGTTATAACCAATATCGTGGGCAATTGCGGGAAAAGTTAGGGGGACATTTAAAATGTCGATGGCATAGAATAAATGGCATGGTTCAAAAATTTGTTGGGTGTTACAAAATTGCTCTTAAAGGAAAGAAAAGTGGGACATCCGAGACCGATGTCATGGCAGATGCACATGCTATTTTTGCTCAAGATCAATGTACAACATTCAATCTTGAGTATGCATGATGATTGTTAAAAGATGAAGTTAAATGGCGCATCATCGAAGAATCGATTGGAAGTTCTGCAAAAATAACAAAGACTTATGCTAGTGGGGCATCATCGGAGAATTCAGATACAACTTCAAGTTATGAGTTTAACTCATCATCACCAATGGAGCGTCCAATGGGACAAAAAGCAGCAAAAAGGAAGAGTAAGGCATCAGAAATTCCAAATGCAACGCAAGATGCAAAGAATAAAAGAGCAATAACAATGGGCAGACTTGCGCAAGCTAAGGAGGACGAGCTAGAATTAAGGGTAGTGCAAATGATGATGAAAGACACTTCTACTATGAACGATAGTCAACGAGATATTCATGAAAAATATTGTAATAAGATGAAAAAAAAATATGGAATGTAGTTAGTATCACTTATGTAAAATGGTCATTAGTACCACATTAATTTATCAACACCTATGTAAAATGGTCATTAGTACCACTTTAATTTATCAACACCTATGTAAAATGGTCATTAGTACCAGTTTAATTTATCAACACCTATGTAAAATGGTCATTAGTACCACTTTAATTTATCAACACCTATGTAAAATGGTCATTAGTATCACTTTAATTTAAATTAGCCGTTATTCAAACTAGTTGTTATTCAAACTAGCCATTATATATACTACCACTTATGTCATTGTTCTCTCATTCTCATCTTATTCTTCTCATTTTTCTCTCATTCTTTACTCACTAAATGGATTCAGATAATTCAGATACTTACGATCAAGAATTTTGGGAGTTGGTTGAAGAAGAATTTATGGACGACAGTGATGAAGAACAACAACTTCAAAATGAACGTCGATCTGGAAGTTCCTCTAGGCCAAAGAGAAAAACAACGGTAGATCGAGGTTGTGAAGAAGGGCACAATCGATTATTCAATGACTACTTCTCAGAAAACCCAGTATACACAGATGTTCAATTCCGAAGAAGGTTCAGAATGCATATGCATGTATTTATTCGAATTGTAGATGCCCTTGGAAATCATGATGAATATTTCCAAATAAGGGTCGATGCAACAGGTAAAATGGGTCTTTCACCATTGCAAAAATGTACATCTGCTATTTGTATGTTGGCGTATGGGTCTCCTGCTGACCTTGTAGACGAATATGTTCGAATCGGTGAAAGCACTTCAATTGAGTGCTTAGAAAGATTTGTTAAGGGTGTCAATGTTGTATTTGGCGCTGAGTATTTGAGAAAGCCTAACAACACTGATATTGAACATCTTTTACAAATGGGAGAGTCACATGGCTTTCCAGGTATGTTGGGTTCCATCGATTGTATGCATTGGGTATGGAAAAATTGTCCTGTTGCATGGAAAGGACAATTTTGTCGAGGTGATCATGGTAAGCCCACCATCATGCTTGAAATAGTGGCATCACAAGACTTATGGATTTGGCATGCTTTTTTTGGTATTGCAAGTTCAAACAATGACATTAATGTGCTAAACCAATCCAACATGTTTAACGATATTTTGGAAGGACATGCTCCCAATGTGCAATATACAATCAATGGGACACCATATAATATGGGGTATTATTTAGCAGATGGTATATATCCCGAGTGGGCTACATTTGTCAAGACTATTTCAATGCCACGGGGAGAAAAGAAAAAATTATTTGCTCAACATCAAGAATCGGCTAGAAAAGATGTGGAGTGAGCATTTGGAGTGCTTCAATCTCGATTTGCAATTATACGTGGCCCAGCGTGTGCCTGACACATGGACACTCTCAAGCATACCATATATGCCTGCATCATATTGCACAACATGATTGTGGAAGACGAACGACATACATATGGAGTTAATTTTGATTACTCTTATGATAATATGGATATCAATAACTCAACAACTGAAACATTTAGCGATCCTCATCCGAATCTTGCAACAAGACTACAAAGAAGAGCAAGTATTAAAAAAAAACAAGTTCATCGTAAACTTCAAGGAGATCTAGTCGAATATATTTGGGAACGTTTTGGACATGAAGATGGTGAAATTTAAGTTTGATTAATTATGTAATGTTATTTATTTTTATTGTTTTTAATTATATATCATGTATTTGAGATTAATTTTAATTATCATTTTAAATTATAAGTTTAATTTAATTTTTTTTATATCAAATTTAATTAAAACACTAAAATTAACTAAGGAGAGATTGAAATATTTTTTTAAGTTTAATCTAATTTTTTTTAAGTTTATATAGTAAAAAATTAAAATTATTATTTTAAGTGATATAAAATTTAATATGAATAAAATATTAATATATAAAGTAAAGTTGTGCGACTCAATATGAGTTCTTCAGAGTTGCACCATTGGAGTGAAAAATTAGTTAAGTTGCTTCAAGCTAACGTGCCTTAATAGATCCAAAAAAAATGCAAAAATGGATTTACGGTTAGAGATGCTCTAAGTTTCAAAAAAACGCATTTAATATTCTGTAGTAGCGTAATGGTTGCGGACTTTGTTACTATCTATTAATAAAATTCATTTAAAATTTTAATATTACAATTTTCAATGAATTTCAAGATTAATAAATGGTACCCGAATCCATAAGGAAGAAACTACTATTTATATTTTTTTGTGGAAAAAGAAAAATTATATATGTTCTATTCCATTCCATTAAGAAAGAGAAAATCGATTGAAATTTTATTTTAAATTTCAAAATAAAAATCAAATTAAATGATTTTTATTTAAATATAAATTAATTTTTATACGTGTCATATTTAATGAACTAACAAAATAATCCAACAAAAATTTATTTGTATATTTTAAAAAAAACATATAAAAAATATTAAAAATTATTTCAAACTTATTTTTTATAAATTAAAAGAGTAATTTTGACATCAGCAAAATCACATGATTTATCAAAAAAGTATATTTCAAAAATGATTAGTATAAGAAATCATTCAAAATATTTTCAAGTTCAAATAAACCTTTAAAAACTTAATATAAAAAAATGAAATACATAAAATAAAATTAAAAAATTATTTTAATTAATTTTTAATTTGAATTTTATTTAAAAAAAACTTTATAAATATTTTTTTTTAACAAAATCATATGTAACAATATAACAATCTAAACAAAACTAGCCAATAATATTACCTGGTATCTTGCTATTGCTTTTATAAATCCTAACTAGACGCTTGAGTTGATTCCATGAGCCGAAATGGCCGTTATTACCTACTAAATATGAACCCTTCGATGCTTCTTTTTTGCATGCAAATAGCAGTTACATCAGTTAGTGACAGTAACAAAACCATATTTTACACTTCGAAAACAAAAAACCAATACCATAGCCAACCAACTGAATCAGCTACAAACCCTAGTTAACAAACACAAAACAAATTGAAATAATGTTTTTTTTTTATTATTATTATTTTGTTATATTTTACCCGAATATAGTTTAACCTTTCAATATTGAAGCATACATAGATAGCACTACTAAATATTGCTCCTAAAATTTTGGTGCTGACGGTTATAAACGTATGGTATAATAAGAAACACCAAACATTAAACCCTCCATTAATAGAATCATCATATACCCATTTCTTCTAATTCCTCTCAGTTTCATTCCTTCCATTTTCTTATATTCCACCACCTACCGCCACTTCAACGGTGCCGCGGCGAGGCCACGCACGGCGGTCACCGCTTGCTGCCTCCGCCATCTTCATCATCATCAAATATTTCTTTACAGCTATGGCCGACGAAGAGCAAAAGTTCGACACAATGTCATTGTCATCATCATCTTCTTCACCTTCTTCTCCGATACAGGAGGAAGAGTTGCAGCACATGCCATTGGCGCCGTTGGCGTGGAATAACAGGAGGAAGCTATCGAAACAGCTGTCGATGTGCGAGAAGCCGAGAGACATGGCTTGGGAGAGAAAGAGGAGACAAGAAAGAAGGAGGAGTAGTATTGCTAATGAATGTGTTTGTGATGATATAACGGATGACGATCTGCATGAGCTTAAGGGATGCATTGAGCTTGGGTTTGGATTCAATGAAGAAGATGGTCAGAAACTTTGTAATACATTGCCTGCACTTGATCTTTATTTTGCTGTTAATAGAGGTTTGTCACCAAGCCCCGTTTCCACACCTCAGAGTCGTGCTTCTTCTCTTGGAGCACGTTCTTCTTCCTTCGGAAGCCCGAGGAGTGATGCTGATTCCTGGAAGATTTGTTCCCCAGGTACTTTTCTTGCATTTTTGTATTTTGGTTTCTCTGAGTCATGACTCAGATGTCTCTGCACAACTACCAACTAACTGACTTATGCAGTAATAGTTTCTGCAACTGCATCAGTTGTATCAGACATTTTCATCTATATTTGTTGATGAGGTTTTGAGTTTGTAACTTTTGTTGAATGTAGGTGATGATCCTGAATTGGTGAAGACCAAGTTAAGACATTGGGCTCAAGCTGTTGCATGTTCGGTAATGCAATCGTCTTAAAGATGAACTCTTTTCTACAAAAGATCAATCAATATTGTTTATATGAGCAAAGAAGTAAGAAAAACATGAAGAAGAAAAAATGTACAAAGAAGAAGAAAAGCAGAAGAAGAGGGGCTCGGTTTGAAGTTCATTATGAGGCCTTTTTGGCTTCAACTTAGGTTAGAGGAAAATGGTCTAACCAAATTACCCCCTCATTTTACTTACCATTTCTCTTCATATAGTTTAAGCCTCCAATTGTCTCTTGATTTAGAAATTTTTTAGCTGTGAAATATTGTTAGCAAATATTATGGCCTATAATTTCCTCAACATATGGAAGATTAAACTTGAAGTAATGTGTTACTGATATGTGGTTAGATAAGTTTTAATTACTTGTCTTTAGCTTAGAACTATTTGACTTGAAATCACTTTATTATAAATAATAATAAATAAATTTGCAATATATAATTGCTTGCTTTATTCTTTCCCTTTCCCTCTTTTCTTCATTTCAATATTTTTTATTTTTACTTTTTATGTTTAACGACTTTTTTGGTTGAACCATGAAACGACACTATTTACAGTTTCATTATTTTATTAGAATGATCACATTTTTTGTTTTAGGGTGATCAATTTAAAACAATTGAAACATGACTTAGAAGTGGTGTTCATTTGATATCTAGTTGGATTTTTAAAACATTAATCTAAAAATTACATAATAAGTATGTAGTAGAATACATTAAAATGGTTAAAAATTAATTGTCTCACATTTTTAGAAGCTCTTAGTAGGATAACAACAACGCTCTCAATGGCTTTGTTAAAGATGATCTATGTTTTGATCAAACATTTCTTTAAATATATAAATGTCCTCTAAAATGAAACTTTTTAATTATTTAACTCTCATATATTTAAGGTGGGTTATTAGATAAACATAGATTTTTGTTGACTTTACTTAGTTGACTAAGTCAATACTTTTGTTAGTTGGATATATAAATTAGTTACTAAGTATATTAACAACTCACTTGTGTATCAATTTAAATTCAATATGATGAATTTGTCACTCATTTCTATTTTACGTTTTTCAATTCATTTCCGTTTCATTTATGAAAGTACTATGGTATCAATAGACCCTTCTTCGTTACCAACTACATTTAGTCTACCTTCTTTTTCTTTGATTCATAAAAATTACAGATTTCACATTCAATGCAATATTCCCCCAAAATTACATAATGCAACCTTCTACACTTTCATAATAATTTCACCTCATGGATCATGGAGGATTACAAGAAACTTGTGATAGTAAATGTGTTACTTTCTATCATAAGTTATTGATTGTAGTGAAAAATTAAATAATATGTCACATTTTATCACTATCAAGACTATCAAATATCAACCATTGTGAATTGGCACGTCATACTTCACTACTGTTGACTGATACAACTGTGGTGAATTTTTTTTTTCTTCATATATATCATATTATTTTTAATGACTGTATTTTATACTTATTTTCTATCAATATATATATATATATATATATATATATATATATATATATATATATATATATATATATATAACAAAACTATATATTATATACAAGTACAAATGGCTTCTATTTATTATCATGTTAAATAAAATTAAACATTATTTACATCAAAACTAATATATTGCAAATATATATTACAAAATCAGTGTCAATTTAGTTTATAAATTTTATTGAATCAAGATGTCAAACATGTAAGAACGTCTTTAAAGTCTTTTGATGCGAACGATATAGTGCCGTTAAAACCAATATAATGCAAATATATATTACAAAATCAATGTCATTTGACCTATAAATTTCCTTGAAGAAAGAGGTTCAACATGTACCAATGTATTGCAAACATATATTACAAAATCAGTGTCAGTTTAGCCTATAAATTTCATTGAAGCAAGATGACAAACGAACATATTTAAAGTCTTTTGATGTGAATAGTGTAGTGTCGATAAACATCTATATAATTTGAAGGAAAATGTATGATCATTTGATTTGAAATAATAACAAACTTTTATGCAGTAAAAATCATTAATATGTTATTCTAAATATGTATTATCTACTCCCAAGAATCAACAATGTTGGTAGAGACAATATTTATCATGTGTTTCTTGACATAATATCCTCACTCGTATAATCCTGATTGTTTCCTCGTCTACAATTTTATTTTATATAGTGAGAAATAATATACACACACAAAAAACATGTAATTATAGATAAATTAATGTAACAAATAATACAGTTACCAAAGGAGTATAAAATTTGAGTTTTTTTTAACTCCTTTCAACATATTGGTTTCCTTCACAACTTTATATATTAAAAACAATTTAAACATTACACACTAAGCTAATTGGAAATCCAAAGGAAATATTACTAAGTCTCAAAATATAAACTTACGTAGAAACTACATGTTTCTTCTGTAGTTCAAATTGTTTAGCTAAAGAATATATCACAATTATCACTTTTTTTTGTGAGGATAGATAATAATTAATTGTCAATAACCATTGAATGAACACAAGCATATAATTAGTAATTTGTAAAATATGTAAAATAAATATAAGATAAACCACAATTTCAAAATTATTCACGAATAAATAAATTTTACTAAATAATAAACTTTATTCCAATCTCTTAATTGTGATGATAATTATGCTTCAATCAGGTTTTGATTATTCAATATAAGTCGCATACTATATTGGTCTAAGAATCCATAAATATCTGATTTATTTGTTTCTATACATAAATAATGCAAGTAACTAAATAGTTAGACAAAATTTTAAAAAATGAAGACAATTTTAACATTGAATGTACTTATGTGCACATTTAAAATTGACATTGATTAGCATAGAAAATGTACTTATGTACACCACAATTGTAGTATCGTTATGTCCATCAACTCGTTTTCATATAAAAAATCTTTTATAACTTTAGGCTCAATATAGAAAATAGAAATATATGTATCATGCTATAATTGAAGAGGAATGAGTTTTTTATCCATGATAAAACATACCAATTTGTTTAATGAACCGTTAGAAGGAACTACCGTCTAAATTTGGGTATGAGCAACTGATCAACTTCGTTTTGTACTCGTGCCACCTAAAATAACTTTTTTAGGCAATTGATCATCTTCATTTGTATTTGTTTGCACGATTACACCCATCATTGCAAATTTTTGCATCATAAAGGCAACATCAACACACAACACATATGTCATGTTATAAGACCACAAAAAAGATGCAACAAACAAAATAAAATTTGTACATACTACATAAACCTTGACTTGCCATATCAACCAATCATAGATACAACATGAATAAGATGTAATTACCAAAACAATATAAATTACACACAACAAATCTTACACACACCAAATCATATATTTAATATTCTAACTAATAAAAGAATATACTTACAATCTTTTCAACAAGTGCATGTGAGACATCTGAAGTGAACCCCCACCTGGTCTTTGTCAGACCTTCTTCTACTTCTCATGTTGTAATGGTGGAGATGGGTTGCGATCACGACTTATTGAGTCATCTCTCAATTGTTGTCTTTTTCATTAATCATTTCTTCTTCAATTTTTCTGTAACCCTATCGAGACAACCTATGGGGATTTTTTTTTCACGTTTTCCTTTCCTGATTGACTTTTAACCTATTATAATTATAGTAAAAATATTAATTACATGGTTGTATCTAAAAAGCATCAGCATAAAATACAATAAGAGTGTTTTTCCAAAAATAAGATCCTACTACTAACCAATAAATCAACAGAACTACAAAACTTGACAAACTTCTCTCAAATGTTCTTCTCAATAAAATTACATTTCACATTTGGATGCTCAAGATCATACTCCGACTTCCTAATTTAATCACGTGTGAGATGTGACTTAAATCCCATCCAATCCTCACCAGCATAATAAACACACATATTCATCAACTTATAGTCATCATCATTTTCTTCAAACTCAAAAAGTGACTACAACAACATCAATAAATATGTATTAGTAATTAAAAAAATAATATCAAATCATATAAGTTAAAATTAATACCTGAATTTATGTCCATATGTGTTTTTTTTCTTTCAAATCAACCGACATTTGACTTCAATCATCTAACAAAATACTCACTTTTCTATGTCTAATGAACAACGCATAACTTCTAAAACGAGAATAATTCTTACTGTAACAAGTCCAAGTTTTAATCATCATTGTAGCACCACTAGTTTTTATTTTTATTCTATACTCTTTAGTAGAACACTTATTTGTGTGAGTGACGTTAGATAAATAGTTCATATATGTTCAAAATAACAACAAAAGAAAAACAATAACAACAACACATTAAACCTTTAGAGTTTATGTTCTTAATAACAATAACAATACCATTTTTCCGTGTTTTCCTTTCCTGGTTGAATTTTAATTTGTTATAAACATAGTGAAAATATTAATTACATGGTTGTGTCTAAAAAGCATCAGCATAAAATACAATAATATTCTAAAAAAAGATTACTACTAACCAAGAAATAAGCAGAACTACGATACTTGATAAACTTCTCCCAAACGCCATTCTCAATAAAATTATATTTCACACTTGGACGCTTAAGATCAGGCTTAGGCTTCCTTATGTAATCACGTGTGAGATGTGACTTAAAGTCCTTCAAACGCACACCAGATTAAGAGACCCACTTATTTATCAACTTATCATCATCATCAATTTTTTCAAACTCAAAAAGTGACTAGAATTACATTAATAAATAGGTATTAGTAAATAAAAAATACTACAAATCATGTAAACCTTCATTAAAATTCTCACCAGTAACAACAAATAAACTTTTAGGGTTCTGACACTAAACACCAATATCAACATAAACCTAACATATATCAACAAGATTACTATTACATGCATGGTAGAGATATTTTACATACCGAGACGTGATGAAGAAGTAAAAAATATAAATTTCATATGGGTTTCCTCTTTCGTTCTTCCAAATATTATT